TTATTTAACGCATAGGGTGACATTATATATACAAATATTTTATATAGATGCATAATATTAATTATAATGATATGGAACTAAAGTCAGATTTTGAATTGTTCCCTATTGTACATACTCTAATACTTTTTACATTCTTGACAATGACTACCTTTTAATTTGTCACGCCCCATAACCCAAATCCGAGAGCGTAACAGATGTCGTACACTTATGAGACGGGTCTCACAAGTGTACCAGGCTCGAAACTTATCCAACGCACATCTGACATAACTTAAATCAAATATCTCAAAATAATGAATCTACTTACAAAGAATAATCTAAATTCAAAATCTATATCCAAATACTATAGCCAGCCATTTAGCTCGTCACTCCCCTTGTTCCCCACGTCTCGAGTCACACAACCTGAAATGGTGGATGAGGAAAAACTAGGTGAGAAAACTCAATAAGTAAAATATGGAGTGCCCTTAATTAACTTACAGCATACCAACATATGCAATCACGAAAAATGGATACAATACGGGAACGAAATAGACGTCTCCCCTATAGGTCACGGCCAGTGTTTAAATCTCCCACTAGCAGGCTACAAAAACTACTAGTGTTTAACCCCCACTAGCAGGATTACAGAAACGAACCAGTTCTATCAATAACATGTCGACATGTGCTAGCGTTTAACCCCCACTAGTAGGATTACAGAAATAACATGACCATTTCAGAGACAAAACAGGCAGAAGTTAGTAGAAAATCATAATTCACAATCACTTTCAAATCATCAGGACAGTCAAATAAACTTCAAGCAGGCATGCTCAAATCAATAAAAAGAATAATAATCTTATTTCAAATCAATTATGCTTATTTTGTATAAAACGGGTTTAATCCCGCCACCACTTCAAAAACAAATTAAAACATGCTTTTAAGAACTGTACAGGCATTACCATAAATTTACTTACCTCACTTGGCATAAACAAGAAACTCGACCCCAGAGTTCTAAGCCACAACAGCACCTAGTGTTCCAAATAAACATGTTCAGACCTCGCTAGAATATTAACACAACATCGCAATTTATGTCAATCTCTCATGACCGAACACCTCTAATTTTATTCTCATATAGAACTAAGCATTTCATTCACTTTATTATTGCCGGCAAAACCTCAAAAATACAATATTCATTTATTTATTTATTCTTTTCTTCTTTCCGAATTTTAGCATTAATTCGGATTGGGTATACATATATATACACCAATTAAATACACACATTTACACATATTTATAGCTTTCTAACTCACGGGCAAACAATGAAGAGTATGGCTTTTATTCAATTTTCCATCTTTGACAAAGCAGTAGCTAATCAAGGAAATTTTCATAATTTTCGTTGCCACAATTTCCATCTACCAGCAATCAATCAGACCAATTTCTCCAGGATAACTAAAATGGCATAAAAACAACTTCAAACAGCAAAGATGATTCCCGGGACAACTACACAAAATTCTACACGAATTAGCAACCCAAAACCCATTTCATGCTACCAAATTCTTCCATATTTCTGCAGAAATTCGGACAGCACAACAGAGGGTTTTCGGACAACACAGGGCAGCAACAAATTGATAAAATTCAACAACACAAGGCAGCAACAAATTGATAAAATTCAACAACACAAGGCAGTAATTAATTAATGAAGTTTCAAGCTTGGAGGGTTGTTAACTTACCAGAATATTTCCAGCAATAGAAGCCGGATCTGGCGAGCTTGGCAGAGATCGGGAGAGGGGAAGGGATGTCACGGGAGCTACCAAAATTGAAGGAACAAGAGGAAATTAGGGTAAACCCAACCTAATTCAAGGTTAAAGAGAGGGATTCATGCTTGAATCTTACCAGAAAACCGAACTCAACCCCCACACAGCAGAGGCCGGCGGACAGAGGGGAAGAAGACAGCGCAGATCTGGAATTTCTGGGTTTAGGGGAGTGTTCCAAGTCCTAAATCTTGTTATTGAACAAGAAAAAAGGAGGATTTCAAGCCCCTTTTTCGGTTTTCAGAGGAAGAGGAAGTCGGTGGCTTAGGGGGGGGCTTGTCGGGAGGAAGAGTTGGGAAGAAGAAGATGAGGAAGAGCAAAACACGTGGCTGAGGAGAGAAATATCAGCCTTGATCCTTATCCTAATTTCCTTTCTTTTAAGTCCCTGAACTTTGAAAATATTTGTATTAAGTTCATTAATAGTATTTCTTCACAATTAGGTCCCTAGCTCGCTCTAGAAATTTTGGGGTATTACATCCACCCCTCCTAAAAAGGAGTTTTGTCCCCAAAACTCAAATCTAGAATCATTGAGACTGGTGAATGGCTTCACGCAATCTAAGACAACTATTGCCCATCATATGACAACCATCATATGGCCATAGCAGTGCAGAATCAATCAATCAATATTTCAAAAAATCAAAGCAATGGAGGGAATCATGAAGCCACCACTACAAAATTACTATTTGCTAATCAAGGAACAAACTTTTTCACGGTCATGAACCCCAAATTAGACTCTAGATCCTTTCCAAATCAAAGAAAGTCATAACAAAATCAAAGACCATAAATTCCTACACAACAAGTCGGAAGGACAGAGCAAGAACCAGAATAGAGCACAATTATTTTGAATTTAAGTCATGTTGGACACAGATTTATGGAATATATTATCATTCTTGGAAGATAGATTGTACCTTGAATTTTATGGTATTAAAACAGATTTTGCGAGAATAGAGTTTGTGATTTGGATAAGTTCTGAGCCTTGTGCATTTGTAAGACCCTCTCACAAGTGCACGGCGTTTGTTACGCCTAAGATTTGGGTTCTGGGGCGTGACATAATTAAACCATTAAAAGAAAGTAAAATTCAAATGCAATTGGTGAATAGTTAAAACTTTAAATTTTTTCAAACAAAGCAATTGTTTACTTAAATCTAATTTGATCTTTTATAACAAAAGGTCTTTCACACTATGTTATTTATTTGAATTCAAACTTTATCTTATTAAATTTTTAAATTTAAATTCATAATTAATCTCATTATATTATTATTTTAAATGTTAAATCAATAAATTAATAAAACTTATACCGAATAATGAAATTCGTCACTGTTAAAAAAAATGAAACTCATCTTTTTTTCAAAATTGGGAGAAAAATCTATCAAAAATTGCTTAATCTATATCTATATCTATATATATATAATGCTACCCTATCTATTAATTAGGGTATGTATTTATACATACATTTATAACATATAATAATATTATATAATATATTTTTATTTATTATTTATTATATAATTATTTACTAATTAATTTTTTAGTAGTAACTGAAGAATAAATTAATTAGCCCTAAATTTTATAATTTAATTTTAATTATAAAAGAATAAATTATGTAAATAAATCTATTTAGTAATATGAATTTAACTTTTTTTTTTGTTCTCATATTCTTTGTCTTTTACTTCTTATCATTATATTCTTAATTATTTTATCATTATTAGTTTTCATTATATACAAATATAATGTAATATAATACGTTAAAATGAAGAAAGATGAATAGATGCTTAAAATTTATGAAAAATAAATACATAGGATTCTAATACATGGCATAATAAGTATTTATGCAGTTACAATTTTTTTTAATCTTTTGGTTTTCTTTTTCTATATCTACAATGCCTTTTCGTCTTCCGACTCATCTATATATATACCCCCACTTTTCTCTACGCCAATATATTATATTCTTCTCCATCTCTTTAATTTCATTTTATTAATATGATGAGTTCAATTTTTTTCTTTTTGTTTCCTATTTCATATTGTATCTAAATATAATATTATGTTTTTATTTTATTTATCTTTTTTATCTTAGTTCAAAATATGTATATTGTTGTATAAACTATTTTCCTTATTAGTCTTATTATTTTTTATGAATTTTTTTATAGAAAATATGATAATTATTTTTTGAAAGACTTTTGTACCTTTATCTATTTGAAACTTATATATTATTTTCTTTATAGATTATTAATTGTTTAATTTTTTTTATGTGTGGTAAGGACAAAACTTTATTAAAGTATAGATATGTATTTATTTGATTTTATTTAGAAGATTTTTGTATGAATTGTTTGATTTTATTTTACGTAGAATTTTTTTATCAAAAGTATTTTTTTAAAATATAATAGAATATGTATAGATATGTATTTATTTTGAATGTAGACATACAAAAAAAATATTATAATAATGATGCAAAATAAGCATTTTAATGAATAAATTAGAAATATGAATAGTTTAAGAAATATCCATATTAATTCATTAATATTTATAAATGTCAAAATCAATAAAAAAAATTTGATTCTTTTTTTGTTTATTTATTTTAGCTTACATATATATGCTTTATTTTTATTTTTTTACCACATATTTTTGAAATTGTTATTTAATAATAATAATAATAATTATTATTATACTAATAACAACAACATCAATAATAATAAAAATTAATGTATAAATATGATCCCGTACAAAGTACATACAACAAGATATTTAATCTTGTTTAACTATATTATAATTTTTTAATTGAGAAAAGAGAAAATATTGTCTAAATTTTTATAGAATAATAGTAAAAAAAAGGAACAAATATATGAATAAAAATTAATATTAAGTGTTTTTTTAAATTCTCTTAATATTGTTTTTTTAATGTGATTATATACAATTTTTTTAAAATACTCATATTAATTACTAAACATAATTTTTAACTCAACTTTAATTACTTAATTAAAATTTTTAATTAAAAATCATTATAAAACTCAAGAGTTGACAAAAAAAAATATAAAATATAAACTTTAATATAATTAAAAAAAAAAAAAAAAATTTTAATTAAAAATCATTATAAAACTCAAGAGTTGACAAAAAAAAAAAATATAAACTTTAATATAATTTTTTTTTAAAAAAAAAAACCGTGCAATGCACGAGCAAAACAAAAACTAGTTCTTTCTGATAAAAGACAAACAAATCAATTAATGAAAATTTAAGCCAAAATTGAACCACTAGTAATAAAATTAACTTGTATATTAATAAAACTCAAGAATTGAATCTACTAGTAAATAAATAAATGTTTTATGAACAAAATTCAATTCTTAGGAGTCAACACTAGATGGAGGTAAGGTGCTCACTCTTAAACTTGTTTGAAAGAATGTTATGAAAAAAATATTTTATAGTCTAAATTGTTTTGGATTATAAAATATTTTAAATAGTCTAGAACAATCTGAACTATAAAATAAGATACTCAAAATATTAATAAATTAATAATTTAAAGGAAAATAAAAGCTATTTAAGTAGGTTTAATCTTCTTTTTGGTTCCTTAATTTGAGTGTTTTGTATTGATTTTATTCCTCAACTCCATTATACATTTTTTTTGGTTCCTTTAACTCTAAATTTCTACACCAAACTTGTCCCTCCATCAACTCCCATCCAACACTACTCGCTAAACTAACAAGCTATTTCTATGTCATAAAATTTGAATGATATGGCAATTACATGTAGGAAAAAAAAGCTTAATTAGACAACTGTAGGTGTTGACATTTTGATGCAAATTTTCAAAGTTGAAAACCCAACACGGAGTCACTTGGCATAGATATTGCCAATGAGAGGTATTGATACTTTTAAGATAGTGTTAACACCAGCTAATAACATTGGGTAATACAAAATAATTAAATAAGCTATTGTACATCATAAAATAATTAAATAATCATGAAATAACATGCTTATTATTTTATCTAAAATATTATTTGAATTTAAAAATATTATATAATTATTATAACCACACATAATTTCTTAATAAAATCATATAAAACAAATATAAATTATGTAAAAAAATACAAATTATATGGCAATTATATGTCTAAAAAACTAGAGAATACTATCTAAATTATTTCTTTATAACTGTCTAATATTTCTAATATTTATTTTGTGGGTAGCAATCAACAACTTTCAATGGCCAAGAGCTTTCTTCTTCCTTTGAATGTTTTCCTCTCTTCTTCTCTTACTCTCTTGTAATTCACTACTGCAGGAATCAGATATTCAGATCGACATTTTGGTTCAGATATGTTAAACATCGGTCCGAATATATATATCTAGATCGATATTGGTCCCTATAGTTGATCTGAAAAAACCTGGTACGAAAAAATATAATATACAGACCGACACAAAATCGGTCCGTATATATATAATGGTTAAATACCCTTTTTGGTTCCTCTACTATAGGAAAAAGCCCCTTTTTGGTCTCTATACCGAAAAAATCTCCTTTTTGATCCCTAAATTTTAAAATCCGGCCCCTTTTTGGTCCCTCCGTTAATTTTTGCTCGCGTGGCACGTTAACTTAATTTGAACGGCTGATGTGGATATGCCAGCATGTCAAAGATGCTTACATGGATTTAATGACACCCTCCATGTCACCTTTTCCCACGTGAAAAATTAAAAAAAAAAGGTTAAATACTAAATTTGATACCTTAACTTTATAAATTTGTATTTTTTTTGTCTTAAATTATTTTTTTTCATTTTTTTATCTTTTAATTCTAAAAATTACATAATTTTAGTCCTACCATAAGTTAAATATAACGTGATAATTAAATAATTTCATTTGATTTTTTTTTTTGATGACATGGTAATTATATATATATATTATATTTATAGTATATAGATAAATAAAAATGT